GGACTTGGATGTTGTGGCCAGTGGATTTGCTGCCAGTGGGCTGGGATGGTGCAGCTGTGGAAGCCCCTGGGCCAGGGGAGGTGCCTGTTCCCAAAGCCCCCAGGACTGAAGCAGCTCCAGACCTGGTGGGAAGGACTCATGGAGGAGAGGTTGGTGGAGGATCTGCCACGGGAGGGACCCCGTGGGGAAGCAGGGCAGGACTGTGAGGAATCCTCCTTCCTGAGGAGGAAGAAGCAGCAGGAACCTCCAGCCTGTGAACTGACTCTAAACCCCATCCCCATCCCCCTGTGCTGGGGGGAAGGAGGGAGAGACACTGGGAACAAGGTGATTTGGGGCTGGGAAGAAGGGAGGGGTGGGGTGACATGTGCAAGCCCTGATCTGTGTGTGTCTGTGTCCTGTGGGTGTTTGGTTAGTGTGAAATGAAATTTTTTTCCCCAAGGTGAGTCTGTCCTTGTCTTTTGTCTCGACCCAGGAGCTTTGTCCTCCCCATCCCAGGGTGTGAGGGGGGAGCTGAGTGAGCAGCTGTGGAGCTGGTTCTTTGTTGTCCTGTTGGGCCCAAACCAGGACATTGTTGGTGAGCCAGACAGGACAGAGACAAGGACCCACCACATCTGCTCTGCAAAGTGAGCAAAACTGCCCTCTCTGCTAAAAGCAGAAACATGTGAGAGAGAAATCAAGCTTTCCCTGCCCAGCCTCACCTCTGCTCTTTCTGCAGAGCTTCTGCATGTTGCCTGTTCTCCTGCCTCCACGTCTGCAGCTCGTTCTTCATGGCATCCATGTCTTCCTGAAGGTAATCCATGATCCTGCCCAGGGAAAGGGCACTCCTGCACAGGGTCTGAATACACACCTGAAGCTTCTCAATTTCTTTGGCTACCAAGTCTCTCTCTTTCTTCCTTTCTGCTTCAGATACAAAAGGCTTCTCCTAGAAGAAGGGATGAAGAAGGCACAAGTATCAAAAGCAGGAAAAACTGGAGTTGCCCAGGAGGGAGAGAATGATCTTCCCTGAAGCAGCAGGTGTAGGGGGGGAATGCCTTCAGATTTTCTGGTTTACTTCAAGCTGTTTCTGTAAATGGAAAGGGTAATTTCTGCAGCTGAAGTTGGCATCATTAAGCAGAAGTCCTCAACAGACATGTCATACTCAACCCCACTTCTGTGATCAGTCTGCTGATGCCACTGCCTGCCAGTGTGTTTGCTGGAGTCATGGAATCCCAGACTGGGTTGGGTTGGAAAGGAGCTGAAAGATCATCCAGTTCCAACCCCCCTCCATGGGCAGGGACACCTCCCACCAGCCCAGGTTGCTCCAAGCCCCATCCAACCTGCCCTTCAACACTGCCAGGGATGGGGCAGCCACAGCTTCCCTGGGCAGCCTAGGCCAGGGTCTCACCACCCTCACAGCACATAATTTCTTCCTAAGATCTCAACTCAATCTCCCCTCTCCTAGATTAAAACTGTTCCTCCTTGTCTCATCCCTCCCTGCCCTTGTCCCAAGCCCCTCCCCAGCTTTCCTGGAGCCCCTTCAGGCACTGGAAGGTGCTCTAAGGTCTCCCTAGAGCCTTCTCTTCTCCAGGCTGAACACCCCAACTCTCCCAGCCTGGCTCCAGAGCAGAGCTGCTCCAGCCCCTCTGAGCATCTTTGTAGCCTCCTCTGGACTTGCTCCAGCAGCTCCATGTCCTTCTGATGTTGGGGGATCCAGAACACTCATCCATCCATCCATCCATCCATCCATCCATCCATCCATCCATCCTTCCCTGCACAACCTCTGGAGTAAGTCTGGACTGTCACTGTGTCACTCCAAGATCCTGCAGTAGGACTTGCTGGATGGGCATTTATTCAACCCTAACACTGGAAAAAGGGCCACATTAACCTCTGGATTAAGTTGATCATGAAATCTGAAAGGCAGCACTTTGGAGAAGCAGAAGCAGCCCCGCTCATAATGTAAAACCCTGCAGGCTGCAGATGGGGCCTCTAGAAGCTCCACCACTCAAGAATGATCTGCTCTTGTGCAGATCCTGTCCTTCAGGGTCAGTCAGCAGCATCCCCATGGTCCATCCTCTGCACCCCCTGGCTCACTGGAAGCTAAAGAGAGGGACAGAGTTTTCTAAGGGGCAGAGTCACCAAGAGCAGGATTAAAAGAGCCAAGTGATGCCACTGTAATCATCTCATTCCAGGAAAGCCATCCCTGAAAACAACCACCATTCAAAGTCCACTGGGTTTTGTCTCCCCTGTCAAGAAAAACAATCTGATTTTCCTTTCTTTCCTACAGGCCTACAGGTTGAATTCCCAAACCAAGTTTTTTTTCCTTGAGACACACAAATCTTGAAGAGAAGTTAATTGAAAGTCATTTTGCTCATTTAAGGGACACCAGAAAACTGGGAAGGTTCTGCTCTCCCACCCCAACTGCAGGATCATCCACTTCCTAAGCCCAGCTCCTGGTGGCTACACCAACACAGAGGTGACAATGTGCTCCTTTCTCCTGCTGGGACACCAAACCTGCCAGGCTGTCCCTTCCTGCCCTCCCACCCATCTGGCCTGGCTTCCTGTGCGGGCTGTTTGTTCAGCTGCTTTTGGAGGCAGCAGGGACTACTGCCAAACACATTTCAGCAGCCCCTGGCTTACTGATGAACTCAGATAAATATATATATATATTATATGTATTTATATATATATATTTTAGAAAAAGACTTTCAAGATTGGAAGGTGAGATTTACTTCGGGTCTGGTGCTCGTGTTTTTTTACCACACACGCGGCGCAGGAAAACTGAGGGGTTTGTGAGTTTTCCTGCTATTTTAGAAGGTTGAAGTTGTTTAATTAGGAAGTGACAAATGCTGCTGAACTTGTGACCTTCGCTTCTGAACCTCAATCCGACCAGTGCTGCCTAAACTGTTAAAAATAACACCCATCTTAATTCCTTCTCACCCCAGCCGTCCCTGCCTCACAGAAGCAGGTGTTTCATTAGGTGACATGACACAAAACACATTCTTCAGCTCCTTGCTGGAGCCATCCACGTGTTTGCCATCTTAGGCAAAGATCAAACTGCTGCTCCTTGACCTGTTTCACCCCCTGAGAGTGGGTGAGCACCCATGTTCTGAGCACATCTGCTAAGGGTTGGAGAGATCTTCTCCCCTGGGTCTTCTCCTTGGCCACCCTCTGAGCACAACAGCCAGCAGGGTTCCCATCAGGGCCATCCAGCTTCTTTCCTGTTGGGCTTCCAGCTCCCTAGAGAAGACAGCTTTTGCCCAGCTGCCCCCACAGGCACAGATCCCAGGACACTGTCACCACACCAGCCACTTACTGGTGCTCAGCATATGTCTGAGGTTGACACCAGTTTCTCTCCTGGAACGATTTTTTTGCCCCACCACACCTTGCTTGTAATGAACAGATCTGGGCTCTCACAGGGTTTCAAAGCCCTTTGCTCTCTACTCCAACTCAGTCTTCTTTGTCTTTCCTCCAGGTTGTGCTCCACCAAAGCCACAGGCAAGGCTCATACACCTTCCACATGTCACTGGGAATCATCAAGAAGGACAATCACCTTCACTTCAGCAGCAGAGCTGGATCAGACCCAACAGCTTCCCAAGAAATCCTCTTGCCATATTTTTCCTCTCCTCCTAAGCACACCAAACCCTTCCCACTTCCCTCCCTGCCAGCCAACATAAGAAGCCACAGCCAAGACAGAAGGAATTTGTTTCAAACACAACTATCTCAGCCAGTCCCCTCATCTGAGGAGATGGTTCTGTGACTGAAAACCTGAAGGAGGCTTCCTTTTCCTTTTTCAAAAGCCAAGTTCAAGGCTTTATGCTCTTGTAATGCCAGCATGAGCTCCCCTTGGTACCTAGACAGCCCAGGCAGTCACACTTCTCAACACCAGCCAGCATGGGATGAAAACAGGAAAAAAGAAGCTGAAATCCCACCATCCAGTGAACAAGCAAACCAGAACTGTGTACTTCAACACACAGGTCCCCCTAACCTTTTGAAATATTCCATGCTAAAATCCACAGCTGCTTGAAAAGCTGGAGTGGAAATAAACCACAGTGGAATATTTTCTGTGAATCAGGAAGATGCCCTAATAGTGAAGATTAATATGATATATATATATAAAAAACTGAGTAGTGTCCCTGTCACTTACCCTGTGTAGTTCAGTGGTTCAAACTGACATAAGAAGGACAAAATATTATCCCACCCCAAGTAATTTCAAGGAGGGAAACATCCTACAATTACAACACTATAAAACACTATGCAGATTCAGGCAGGTACATTAACAGACTTGTTAAAAACCCCCTTTGAAACACAGACTGTGAGATATCCGAGTGCTGGAAGAACTGCAAGAGTTCTTTAGTGTGCCCCTCTGAAGGGGAAGCACTTCAAGCTTCCCAGAAAACTTCCCCAAACACCTGGAGGTGCAGTGGGCACACTGTTGTCCTTCCTCACAGTGTTTAAAAAGAACAATCAATCCTTTCTGTCATTTCAGGACCACCAAGGTGTCCTGCAGTCTCCAGGAAGCTGAGAATTAACACCATGAAGCACTCAAGCTTGATTATAAGTAATTAAGAAAGGAGGGGGATGGAGGGGAAGCCATGCTGTCTGCTCTCAAGTTCTTAGTTACCTTTTATGGGTTAAAATCTAGGTGGGACACACTTTTAAATCACTAGGAATGATGGCAGATGGTTTCTGACCACAGGCAAGGTGGGTGGTAAGAGCCCCCAGTGCCACCTCAGCTCGTTTTGCACGAGCACGGAACAGGCTTTATTCTGTTTGAAGAGAAATGCCAGAATCAGAATTGTTCCAGCCTATTTAATTAGGTCATAACACCTCAAGGAACTCTCCTTTTCACACAAAGCCCAGGAATCCATAAATCACCCCCCCTCTAAAAGGCTCTGTCACTCCTGTGGGCCCAACACGCCTCCTTTCCCGCGCGTTTTGCTCACAAGGCACCAAGACAAATGTTTGGTTTGGATTCCTGGGGACCAGTCTGCCTTTCCCATTACCTCCAGGAGAACAGAACCCAACGTGGACCCCGGCTGCAGGGACCTGAGAAATTCAAAAAGCAAGGATTTTGGATTCTTTTTTTTCCATCAAGAAACGAGCAACAGGGCTCCAGAAACCATCAGAATCTCCTGGTGTTTCATTTTGACCTGGCTGAAGGAATTAGTGTCACTATTGCAACCTGCACAGCTCCCTCCATCCAATGGCTCATCCACAAGACATTCCATTTCCCACAGCTGGGCATTTCCAACACCTGATACCCACAGAGCTCAAGAGGTGATGAGATAAGTTCCTTCCCCCAAACACTTCTGGAAAAGATTCTTTCTAGAAGGAGTATTTGCTTACTTTTCTATATGATATATATACATATATATATCTTCTCCTGTGCTCCCATTTTTTTAAATCAACAGTTTTAAACCCAGAATCAAATTAGAACAAACATCCATCAAGGACTTAATAGCTTCTACAGCCCCTTTTTAACCATTGTATTATGTCCCATTCTGAAAACAGACCCCTGTAATCACAGTTTTATGGAGCTAGACCCATTTTCCCCCCTGCTTATTTCTATAGGACAGGGCAGAAACTTCATTTTTGGACAAGTAATTTTGATAGGTTTGATGCAAAAAAAAAAACAAACAACCAACAAAATGGGTTGTTGTTTTTTTATGGTGCAAAATATTTTTTGATCATAAAGAATGTTTTCTTTTCCTGGTTTTTACAGAGTCTGCATTTTAAGTGGATTGTAACTATCCACCAGGGATCACCATAAGAAACTCTTTCACAGAAACACAGGGAAAAAAACAGTAAATGTTAAATCATTTCAAATGAACAGGATGCTTTTTTTTTTTTTTTTTCCTGCTTATGCCAGGTACTGAGTTCAGGAACAGGCCAAGGAATCTGAGACAAAATGTTCTTTACCATGAGATTGAACAGTTAGTCTGA